ACTGAGCCTCAGTACAGTAAGTGATGGCAAAACCGCCTTGGTTTACAGTGTACAGTGATGCGTAAGTGCTTTACAGTTTGTCACAAATCTCAGTGCACTGTGATAGTAAAACCTTATTGTGGTGTAATTATATATCCAAAGCAGTCAGAAGTCAGAAAATCATTAGTGATGTTTAACCACTCAGAAGACAGAGAGGTAGTTCATCTTCTACATATAATAACGGACAAAGTAAAGAATGAAGTGTAGGCTATGTTTAAATGTTCGGAATTTGACCGTGTATGATGGTCCTCTTGAGTTGCCGTACAGCCAATGGCGTACAGCCATTGCTCCATTTTCATGTTTTTTTAACATGTTTTTCACAAACATTTTCACACGCTAGGAGCATAGGAATAATTCAATTCGGTTCGTCATGATCTGTAGATGTGATTTGCCCCCGAGCACCCCTGGGTAAATTACCGTACAGCCAATCACAATGCGTACAATGCATGACGTCATTGGTAAGAGACGGCCCCCGAACACATATGGTACCCCGAACACATCTGGTACCGACACCGGGCATGAGTAGGTCGCTGCCTTTTTTTTATCTTTATGGTTTGACTTTGTTCAGAAAAAATCTGATCCACATGAAGTTTAATTTTGGGCCATGCTTTGGGTTGCTAGCATCCATATGAAAAAAAATAGTAAAATGTTACTATTTCCATGGTCATAGGCACTGCAGCCCTCTACAATTATTCACATCAGGTTTCATAAGTGGCCAGTCTGGGCACAATTGTGCTTCCAAAAAAACAACATGTTGTAAACATGAAGTGAAATGCAGTGTATGGTTTCAAAAAGACAAAAGACAAAGTTAATTTCTTCTGTAGACATTTAGTCTGCATGTCTTTTTATCATAAAGACATCATAAAGACTGACCAAAGTTAAACATAATTGGTGGCAGAGTTTACCCTTCTGGCCTCAACAGACACAGTTAATATCATTGGAACGGAGTGTAACCAAAATGTTGGACAGATGAAATGAATGGGAGGCCAAAGAACCAGGCACAAACTTTGCACTAGAAAGATATGGGCACGCTGCACAACACAGGGACAGTAGAATGGTTATTGGATCACAAACATCAAGGCAACTTGGATTACTTGCAAGGTAACAATAAGGCACCCTCTTTGACAACTGCTCTACTGATGAGCAGGAATGCCAAGATAATAACACACAATGAACATTCCACTCAGAAATTTGAACAGTTAATACTTATATTTCATAAATTGTGCTTACGAATATTTGTAACACTGGGTTCACACTTCACACTAGTGTTAAACCCAAGCGTTTGAGATTTAGTGATATAGCATGTACTGTATGCATACACTGAAAAAACTGAAACCTAGTATGAATTATTGAAAGTCAATGTTTCAGTTTTTTCAGTGTTGTGGAAAATGAATGTATGAGTAGGTAATCCAGCACACAGCAGTTTAGGAGACACAAATACAAATATCAAAAAAAATACCATGTTATATTGTTACCATTTCATATCAGCAGCAAATCATTTTAAATAAAGAGCCCTTCCTTTCACACCGCAGATCCAGTACATGAAGTCAGATTCTACAGTTGGTAGATAGCATCTCCTCCATTCACAGAGGCATGTTTGGTAATGTCTGATAAAAGGGCAATGTGTCGAGTGGTTGTATAATGAACTGTTTCTCCAAGATATGTGCCATTACACTCTCCACCTCCATGCAATGGTGTAAAAACATGAAACAAACAATGCATTATTGTCACGATTAAAAAGTAGTGAATGTTACGTCTTCAAAATCAAGGTTGATACTTACTTAGATAAAGTATTTTTCTAATAATTGGGGAGAAAACTCAAATACTATTTCTGTATTCTAGCGCGAAGACAGGTATAGAGGAGGAATAACTGTCTGTGTCTTGAATCCCAACCCTACGGCTTATGGGGATGCAAATATTTAGACATGTTCTATGTGTTCACTTGTTCATTTTGCTATACGTTAACATTTACAGTTATATTAACAGACTGGCTTTTATAAATGAGTTTTAACTACAGCATTTAACTCCATCTTCCCTTCAAGCTAGCTGCAAACATCAGCTGATGATCTCCAGGGATGTTTCTGCACGTTTGCATTATTTGTGGCTGATCAGATTAGCTAGATTCTGGTCACAGGCAAACAAACAGGTTTCTCAACATAACAAACTCTGAGGGAGAGTCAATGTAATTCTAAACACCAAAAGTCAAAATGTATGGACTTGAGGGGTGGCAGTACAACTTTAGTCCTGCAAAAAGCGCAAATGTGTGTGTAGTATCTCTTTAAAGACGGCGTGTGTGTATCCAGACACAGAAATTTGAGCTGTCCAAAGTTGTTCAACTTGTTTAGTGTACGTGGAAAAATCTTAGCTCTGTCCCTAACAGAATAACATTCTCTAATGGTGTGTTATAATGACGTAAAATACAAATGATGGTTGACTGTTTTAAACCCAGAACAACTTTGGCAATGAAAAAAAAAAAAAAATTAACAATCCAGTCATGGCATGTTTTCATAGGAACATTTGTAAAATGGCTTAGTTCTGAATTACAATAACACATTACTACTTTCACATTCTAGTAGGCAGTTTCTATCCCATATACAATATAGTGAGCACATCCAAAAGCAATACGCCTTGAAAAAGGATGTGACAACATGTGTGTTATGAGTTGAGCACCCTCAGCTGGTTCTAAAACTGCACAAACGCTAGGTAAACCTGTTATAGGTATAATAATTGATAGGGACTCATTTGAATATTTTTAGACTTAGGAGATTCAAACATACAACAATAAATATGCTAATGGAGATTCTGAATAATTTTAAATTTTTCCAAAACCCTAATTAAGATAACACCCCGTCCCCTTCGACATGAATCACTTCAGAAGACTACACATCATATTTGCATTAAAACTTCAATAAGATCACATAAACACTAGTCTAATAATATTTGTGATTAAACAAAATCCTAAAACTGGACTCAGTGCTATACTGCTCTTCGTAAATTGCCACAGTGCAGAACTAAAGGGTTCCTAGGATAGTGCCTTGGGGTACACCTGCCCCCTAGCTGTTGGCGGAAGTCCCAGCAGTGAGCATTGGCTGCTCCCATGGTGTCTGGATATGGCAGTCACCATCCTTCAGTTGGTCACTAACCCTTTATTTCAGCTCGTCTTCTGGGTTTCAATGTGCAATGTGGGCCAAACTCCACAAACAAACTGAACAAAGATAGGAAAAATAATTAAATGACTGAATCAATACAATCATGCAATAAAATAAAAGCTATGATAATTACAAAGGCTTGGGGCTAAACCTACCTTTATATTTGGTCTGTGCTTGAGGTAGGTTGACCTGATCTGCAGGCTAAAAGAAGATGAATATTAGATTTTAAATAAATAAATGAACTAGCTCACTCCAATAAAACTCACAGCTGGAGCTTACCTTAGAAGTATGTGCAGGTAGGATCCCAGGCCAGTAAAGATGTGCCACCAGGCATGGAACTGTGTTGCTACTCCAACACCGGAGGGAAGTTTTTCTCTACTGGCTCTGAGAGACAGAAAAAAACATGAATTGTATCTCCAACTGTATGGGATTCTTCTAAAGAGGGTGCTAATAAATTGTCTTTATAAAAGTATTTTTATTTATTGTACTTTATCAATAAAAAATCTAAACATGCATTCTGCATTTTGGATAAGAAAATACAGTTCAATTTAAGATTCTTATTTCACAGTAAATAATCTGAGAGATATTCCTGTCCTTGATTAATGTAACAGACTCTTTATTTAAACATTTGCATCAAGTATTATTAAAACTGCTGTCCGAATTCCAAAAAATAAGCAAATGCTTCAATAATAAGAGGAACCTTACTATTGTTCCATGTCTAATACTCACCTTAATGTGTTGCAGAAGATATTGTCGATGTTCCACAGTAGGAACCCTAACAAAAAGACTCCTAAGGAGGTGTAACACAGCGGTCTGAGCCATGGGTACACCCTAACATTGAAACAGAAACCACAAAGAAACCCATTAGCAAGTTATTTCTTACACAGAAGATTGATGAAAAATAATTCCTTTGATATATAAATGTTTAACAATGAACGCTCTTGAAAAACATACCATGTAACAATGAAGATAGATCGCATCACTAGGCAAGCTACTAGAGCTCCATACATGACCTGGAAAAAGACACATTTCATTATGTTTGGCCTTGAAACATGGCAACGTCAAATTAACATTCTGTCTCCCAACTATTTATACATTTTGTTCGACAGTAGTGATGTTACGTATTGCGGAGCGTGTGTCGAGTAACCCCCGAAGCTTTTTGTGAAGCTTGTATCGAGGCTTGTATCGTTTTGGGCCAGTGACGTCACCGATGACAAAAACGAAGCCTCGCTGCCCCTCAATACCACACACACGACTGCTTCAGAAAGTGCTTTAGATCGGTTGAACCACAACGCTCATAATATCCATGGATGTATAATAAAAGCGATATTACCCTTCCTGTACCCGGGCCCAGTGACACGATGGAATTAAGAGAGCTCAGACCCTCACTTATATAGAGGTCGGAACATGTCATAAGTATAAATAAATAAAAGCATAAATAAATGTAGGAATAAAAACATGAATGAATAAATACAGGAATAAATAGTATGCATTGTTTTCAGGTAGATTCAGTGCGTGTGCTGTGGCCCAGCTGGAAAGCAGTTGACTCATAACCGTAGGGTCCCTGGTTCAACGACTGAACAATACGTCTTTTTTGTTGTTTATAAAAGCTACAGCTAAATGTGATAATGTAGTTAATAAATGTATTCTTTGATATTGTTTAGCCTTTCTCAGGCTACAACATGGTTAAGTTTAGGAATATTATTAAGGAATACAAATCCCTCTTTGCAATGTTTACCAGCCTCCTTTGGCTTTTCAATCACAATCATTAAACCGGAACACTTTTTAAACTAAAACAGGAAAACAAAGACAGATCTAGACAGAACAAAATAAAACAGGGACAGATCGTGACACATTTTATATGACTGAGCTCTGGTGGGAACCCATTGCTGAATTCCAGGCAGCCTATGTACATTGATATTATTGATAACATAAACTTTGAACACAGTCCTCTAGCATAACCCTTTCAGATAGAGCGCTGCAGTAATGATATATTTCTGTAGGCCGACACGGTGGTAAGCATCACAAGGGCTCCCTTAAAAATATTGTTTCCATTGATGTAAAAAGATAACATTAGGCTTTAAACTAACTACATCACGGTCACATGACTTTATGTCACCACCACCAAGCTAAAAGCGGCTGATATTCGCTGTGATGACTTTAGTAGTCTCATTTAGCCACTTGTTAGCAACTGCCGTTTTTTAACACAGGACAGTTTAACCACAGGTCTAACCAAAAACACTCTAAAAAACCGTTAACTTCGAGACGAGGGAACCGGATGTGGAAAAGTACTAACCCATTTTCCAAATTTGAGGACTCATTCCTGGACCTCTCTACACAAGCATTGTTGTCTCTCAAATGTGGTTCAGCCAAACAGTTTTGTTTCCTTGAGTGTAATGAGCATATACAGCCAGTCATCAGTCAGAGCCTTTATTGGAGCTATTGATTTTTTTGACACATACGTGGGGAAACCATTCCAAAATAAGTACATGCAGTCAGCACAATCTATATTAAAAGGAAGTAGGAAGCTAAAGTCCCCATTATCAGTCGGGCTCTAAACCATCATAAAGCAGTGTGATTAGTAAACAAAGGCTGCTCTGTCACATTGTCCTTTAACAGACATGGCTGTGTGTTGAGTTTAGGGCATTGTATTTGGGTTAATAGCTACACCTTAACTGTAAAAAGATAACTACAGGGTTTCTGCTGGGCTTAGGTACACTCCCAACCATGGAGTATTAGATGTTTTTTTTTATTTTTAAGTGTAAGAAGACAAAGAAAAGTGTTAAAACTTTAAAATATATATTTGAGTTTTAGGTGCAAACTCCATTTAAAATTCTGTATTTTGTATTTTGAATCGTTTTGCATAATGTCTTTGGTATGAAATTCTACTTTGTGTTTAACATCCAACATGCACCAAGTGTTTTTGTGCTGAGTTAGCAAGCCAAATGTTTACTTAAGGTTGACTTGACTTCAGGCCCGCTGCGCCCAAACAGCAAACAATGAGCAATCTGATACAGTTGAGTAAGAAACAACTAAAACCTTACCTGGTGAAAGACTGGCTCCTTCCACTGTAAGTATACCTGCAGGAGGAAATACAGGAAATACTCAAAATAAATGATGGATATTGTGTTTTATGTATATCATGGTTCAAACTTAATCAGTGTAAAAGTGAAAGTGGATACTCACCAATGTGACTGAGACACTGAAGATTATTAATAATGCTATGGGGAATAAACTGATGGTGTTTTCTTGTTTGAAACACTCGTATCTAAAAAAAAGAAAAACATGTTTATTTTACATGTTCAGCTTTAGGAACAATAAAGGAAAAAAAAGATGCAATGAAAGGATGCATGTGTAACACATTTTTCTGGAAATATCTCCACACTCTACAATCAATTCATTGATCAATTTATTTGCCACATGAAGTCCCAACTTTAGTGAAATGAATCATCTGCTCTGGCAGATCAGCACAAATCAAATCAAATCAAGTTTTATTTATATAGCACATTTATAAACGATTTTTGGTCGAGCCAAAGTGCTGTACATATAATAAAAATAGCCTACAGTAGAGACACTTTACAGCAAATACAACAGCACACAGAAAAAGAAAGCTGAACGGCAGCATCCATTGAAATCAACAATAATCGCAGTGCCTGATATCTCCAAAAGAGACGCAGCCGCCAACGCCATCCAGCCTGTTATCTAACAGAAACACATTGGCTGAAAGGATTCAAGGCCGGTGTCCAAATCCTTCAAATTATTTTTTGATTTTGAAGGCACACAGTTAAAAAAGGGGGATTTTCAGTCTACAGTATAAAGAGTAGACTATCTGCTGTTAAAGAAGGGCAAGGTGAGTTGCCCTGGAGAAAATGTTTAGCTTTGCTACAGCAGTAGGCAATCCTCTACATTCTCTGGGTGCAGCTTCCATTGTCCAGGTAGGACTCCACCTCTGGATGTCTGACTATCTCCTTCTGTTTAATCAATTAACATAGAAACCTTAACATCTACTGGATATCTTTAGTCAGGGTCAGGCCCTAACAGATCTAGAATCAGTTAAGAATCATGTGTCCTTTACAATATACTGTAGAATGCCTCACAGTCACTTGAAAAAGACACCCTGTACTTTCTTATAGTGGATCAGGTGATGGATGAGTGATTCACTAGTTCACTTTACAATCACAAAAAATATTTCCTCAGTCAACGTCGTTAGTAATTAAACAGCAATTCATCTAAAAGGTTGAGCCACTTACAGGCAGTAGACAAAGACGCATGTACTGTAGATCATTGGCAACTCATCCAGTAACTGCAAATCAGAACACAAAGAAAACACATACTGTATCAGTACATTTATAAGATTTTAGTCTTTCATTAAGACATTGCAATAGGCAGCAAATATTTCCACTTCATTGTGATTCATGCATGTTCATCAAATTGATGAATTGTATGTGCTTTTGTTGATATATTAACAATTTCATGTTTTACTGTAGCCCACCTGCATCTCATATAGCAGCGTCATGTGGAAGCACCAGGAACCAACGCCAACAGCTGGACAATGGACAGACAACCCCATAAAACATTAAAACTGAAAGTCAGGACATTCTTAAACAATGTGATTAATGAGATCAGAAGAACACCCGGATAGTCTGTTCTCAATAGCTACGATATGTAAACAAGAGGTTTGTTTGCTAATGCAGAGCAGGGTAATTTGTGGTTTCAACAGACTTACCTGCCAGTCCGAGGAAAGAGCAGACGTAGCGAAATTCGAGGCCGTCTCGAAACGTCTGGATGGCCCCGTAAATGGGAGGAAGGATCATAATCAGGTTGCTGACAGTGTTCCCTGTTCAACAAGACACCAGAGACAAGTTAGATCCAGGCGACACAACCCTGTATACGACATTTGAACACCTCTGAATGACCTCTGATGGGTGATTGGGTGACATGAGGGACCTGAGAGGGAGACAGGCTGGGTTACATGTAGTGATCATTATAACACCAGCATGAACGGGGTTTGCAAACTGCAACTACGATTGCTGTCATTTTGTATTATTTAGGTTTGCATTGTTTATGTAATTAGTCATGTAAAAAATTTAAATGATAGGCAATTTTTGTTAAACAGATGTTACAAAGTGCTTCACAAGACAATAATAGCAGAACAATTAAAGGTCCCATGTCATGCTTTTCCGGTTATTACCCGTCCCCTTGTGTGTTATGAAGGTTTTTATGCATGTAAACGGTCTGTAGAGTCAAAACCCTCAAAGTACACCCTGTAGCGAGTAAAACTCTAACACAGAAAATACCTCCCCACAACGCCTCGTTGGAGATACGTCACTGTCCATTGATTCTTCCGTGTACCGCATGATGTCATGCGTTACCCGGAACCAAATGGATCAATCCGTGGAACCGCTACGTTACGTCCGCGGAGCCGTTACGTTAAGCCCCCGCTGATTGGTCCAAATTGACCAATCCACGGACTTCCTCACACACACACTCAGTGCAAGCAGCTCTGCTGATTTCTCCTCCCTGGCTGCAGGCTGATAACAGACAGTTGGGATTGCGGCAAAATTCTCTCTGCAGACCCATTCTCACAGCGTTTATCAACCTTTTTCTTACTCAATATCAAGCCACACTTATTGTTTTTACTTCGGCTGTGACTTTGTGTGTGCTCAGGATGAGTTTGGCTGTGTTTCGCTGTGTATCGCTAAACAAGGAAACCACACCTCCA